ATGTGGGTTGAGGGACCTTAGATATTAAAAAATAATATTGTGAATCTCTTTCATTACTAAAAATGAAAGAGTGACCTTAGACTAATTTTTCCTATTTTTTATGCATATATATTGGCCTCTTCCGAACAAAATTCCTGGTTCCACCCCTAATCAAAATGTTTTCAGATAGAAATATTTTTCTTAAAAGGTGTTTTCTTTGAAACAGAGAGAATGGTAGTTTCCCTTCAAGAAGAGGGAGAGAGCAAAGGAAGTCACTCAGTATATTTTGAGTCAGTCCATTTCCAATGAGAAGTGTCTTCCTCTATCATCCTCTTGTTTTCTTATTGTCTTAAATGATTGTAAAAGGAACCTTTTTATTTCATTTCTTTATTGAAATCCGATAGTCTTTTCTTTCCTTATCTTGTCCTTATTAATATATTAGTTTCTCTAGTTATTTTTTTTTTAAAATCGGAATCTTGAATATATTCACAATTTTTTTTTATCAGCAAGGAAAATCTATATATTCACTTAGCATATATAGACACTTAGAGCATCTCCAATGGTTTGCTATTGGAGTTACCAAAGCTATAATATAGCAGCTTTGAAGAAAAAAGGTTCTCCAATGATGAGATATAACAGCTATTAAAAATGGCAAATGCCAAAGCTGTTGCCAAGTTTGACAACAACTTTAGCAAATGGCAAATCTGCCAGCTCACCAAAAACCAACTGATTTTCTTCCTTCCCTCCCTTCATTTCTCATCATTTTCTAGAAAAACTCAAACAAAAACAAATCGATTTTTTCATTTTGCAAAATTCACGAATTTTTTTTAAAACAAAACTCAAGGGCATAGGATGCTTGTAATAGATTATAGATATTGACAATCTACTGTAACTCTAAAAAAAAATCAAATCATGGCCAATATTGCTCTCTCTATATCTAATCTAAACATCAGAAACCTAGTTTAGCCATTGCATTGCAATAATTTCATGAAACAAAAATAGCACAGCTGCTAAATTGATGTTTGAAGAATAAAAAAAGGAGCTGCAACAGGAAATAGTACCTTTTGTATAACATGATCAAGATCTTCGAGTGTGTTGAATCTCCCCTCTCAAAGCATAGCCACGAATGGCATATGTCCTGAATGATTCTGTTGTTTATTGAATAAGATCAGCAATGGTATCAATGCCTATATAGCATCATGATGAGGGATTGATGAATAAATTCTGAACAAAATACATATATAGAAATTGACATTTGGTTCTCTCTTTGCACACTCTGGTTTTAGATAGTGAGGGGGAGAGGGAGGCTGAGAGGGAGATGGAGGAGGAAACACCATGGTCTTCGGAGAAAGAGAGAAAGAGAGAGAGAGAGAGAGAGAGAGAGAGAGAGAGAGAGAGGGAGATGGAATGGGAAAGAGAGATAGAGAGAGTGAGAGATATCAAATTTCTTTGTAATAGATAGGTGTGGGTTGAGGGACCTTAGATATCAAAAAATAATATTGTGAATCTCTTTCATTACTAAAAATGAAAGAGTGACCATAGACTAATTTTTCCTATTTTTTATGCATATATATTGGCCTCTTCCGAACAAAATTCCTGGTTCCACCCCTAATCAAAATGTTTTCAGATAGAAATATTTTTCTTAAAAGGTGTTTTCTTTGAAACAGAGAGAATGGTAGTTTCCCTTCAAGAAGAGGGAGAGAGCAAAGGAAGTCACTCAGTATATTTTGAGTCAGTCCATTTCCAATGAGAAGTGTCTTCCTCTATCATCCTCTTGTTTTCTTATTGTCTTAAATGATTGTAAAAGGAACCTTTTTATTTCATTTCTTTATTGAAATCCGATAGTCTTTTCTTTCCTTATCTTGTCCTTATTAATATATTAGTTTCTCTAGTTATTTTTTTTTTAAAATCGGAATCTTGAATATATTCACAATTTTTTTTTATCAGCAAGGAAAATCTATATATTCACTTAGCATATATAGACACTTAGAGCATCTCCAATGGTTTGCTATTGGAGTTACCAAAGCTATAATATAGCAGCTTTGAAGAAAAAAGGTTCTCCAATGATGAGATATAGCAGCTATTAAAAATGGCAAATACCAAAGCTGTTGCCAAGTTTGACAACAACTTTAGCAAATGGCAAATCTGCCAGCTCACCAAAAACCAACTGATTTTCTTCCTTCCCTCCCTTCATTTCTCATCATTTTCTAGAAAAACTCAAACAAAAACAAATCGATTTTTTCATTTTGCAAAATTCACGAATTTTTTTTTAAACAAAACTCAAGGGCATAGGATGCTTGTAATAGATTATAGATATTGACAATCTACTGTAACTCTAAAAAAAAATCAAATCATGGCCAATATTGCTCTCTCTATATCTAATCTAAACATCAGAAACCTAGTTTAGCCATTGCATTGCAATAATTTCATGAAACAAAAATAGCACAGCTGCTAAATTGATGTTTGAAGAATAAAAAAAGGAGCTGCAACAGGAAATAGTACCTTTTGTATAACATATTTATATAATTTTTTTATGAAAGACTTTAATATTTTATATATATATATATATCACACATCCTCATCTTCATCATCATCTTTACCATTATCACTATTATTAACAATCTATGCAATTTTACCATTCCACCGATCCAAATCAAGCAAAACCCACCTTTGAAGAATATGTTTGTAACAAAATTGATTGGACATAAACAGAGCTTCGACTTACAACAATAGAAAAACATAGAGTTTGAACACAGAGTAACAATAGATGAACACTGAACTTCGAACACAAAGTGCCAATAAAACACAAGGTTTCACCGCAACAACAGAGGAACATAATATTATTTCACCACTATGTGCAAACTAGAGTGTCTAAACCCTACCAAATAGAGAGTTTCCAAATCCTTGCACAATGAAACAATACCACAAATGTGAATGAAACTGATCAAAAAGAAAAATGTGAATAATAGTAAATACCAAAATAGAGGTAGCAACCAAAAAAAAGTGTGTATAATATTTTTCTATGTAATACATATCAACAATAGACATAAGAGCATAATAGTCCAACAAACAATATAAATCAGGAAAAAATGACCTTATGGAATAAAAGTATAAATACATAGGACTAATTAGGTTATAATTTTTCTTGATAGACTTATTGGATTAGAAACACCGCCAAATGAAATTTATCAATAATCCATTAACAAATTAACCATGGGCTTCTAGCCTAGTGTTTATCACATGCCTCTCACATAGGAGTGGTCAGGGGTTAGCAGGGGCAATATTTTCTTGACTTAAATTTGTGTAACTTGCCACCCATTACAACGGTTGTTTGCCGACCCCCTTCCCCCACTCTTTAGGAGAAAAGGAAAATTAAATTTTTACAATTAGCTTCAGAGATTAAAAAAAAATATTGATCTTGTTGAACAATGCTAAGTTTCTAGCACACTTATCAAGGGTTTTTTTTTTTTTTTTTGTTAATTAGAAGAATATAATCATTAAGAGTTCTAAAAACTTGGGTTCTTAAATATGAAATCTTAGGTGATTGTCTAACTTAGTTAATGAACAAGCCACCCATGCATGGTAGAGGTTGGTGGGTAACTCTAAATTGATTATGTTACCATGTATTATATACATGATCTAGGATTTTTTTTTTTTTTATAACAAGGAATCCGTCCAAAGTCGGACCCATTTTAGACCCACTCTTATAGAATAAAACCCCAGATGTACGCTAGTGCCCCACAAGTGTACATTGGGCAAAATCGAGGAGGCTTGAACTCAGAACTTGTTACTTTATTAACAGAAGTCTCACTACTGAGGACACATTTATGATCTAAGATAGTTTCACACTACTAAAAAAATTACTTTTTGTGACCACTACAAGCGGTTGCAAATAATAAAAAAAAACAGTCGCAAAAGACTTTTTGTGACGGCCCATGCGATATGGGGGTGGCAAATACTTTTGGCAACCGCAAAACAGCAGTCGCAAACTATTTGCGACCGCCTAACCTACTTATAGTGATTGATATTTTGCCACCGCAAAAAATTTTAAAAAAATGCCTACAATGTATTAGCAACCATCTTCTTTCCGTTGCCAAAAAAAAAAAACCTACAATCATATATATATACCATAAACATAATGATATATTTGCAAAAATCTCAACATTCATTTCCATTTCTTCTCTTAATAAAATTCTCTTTCTTCTTCAAAAAAAAAAAGTGTGCAACAACAACAAAGAGTTATTGAAAGAATCTTACAAAGGTTTTTCATCTCTTGTAATTACAAAGAACATTTGAGGTTACAATAGTTCTGATTCTAAGAACCCTTCACAGTCTTGTTACATAGTCGGAAGAAGAGCAGCAACTCTTGAGATCACAGACATCTTCTGATTTCGTCATCTGCTTTGAGAGAGAGAGAGGGAGAGAGCAACATAGCTCAAGCATTAACCCGGGGAAACAATGGAGCCCAAGAATGCTTTAAAATAGCAACAATGATCTACATAATATCTATAAATTCATTTTAAATTCTGACAGATGATAGTTAGGTGCTAAACAATCAAAATTCACAAGCCCAAGCATACAAAGCGACACTAGCAATATGATTATGAGCAAAATAGAGAGAAAATGTTAAGCTATGAACAAAAAAGTGATTTCCGGACACATCAAAAAGTACGCAGTAGCAAAGACTGACAAGAATGCTTGTTTGTCTTATCTTTATTTATTTTCATTCTTAACTAAGTTTGACTGCATATTAGGCAAGAATTATCCATGGAATTTTTTCAACTGCCTCATGGTTTCTCTTTATCTTATCAAACCATGCGACATTAATACTACTTCTACACTTTCCCGTTTTTCTTTCCTCAGAACTATCACAAACCTCAAAATATACTTTCTATTAAACCAAAGAACTAAACAATAAAAAAGAATTCAAAGTGAATTAATACATTACACAATTAAAAAAGTAGACTACACATACGAGTCAATCATCCATCCTTATCTGATATTTTTGCAACCAGCAGAAGTACTAAAACAAGATAATTCAGATTATATAGAATGGAAAGCTCAATATTAACTCACTTCTACAAAATTCCTTGCAACAGACAAAAATTTAGATGCCAACATGCACAACAAAGTCAACTATTGAGCTACACCTCAATATGATGTTATTCAGTCACTAGTAACTTCCTTGTTTACCTTGGAGCTAATTGGTATCAGACCATAAAGACAGATACGAAGATCACCTTGAACTAATCGTGGGTGCAAGTCGTTCATATACAAGTCCCATAACTCATCTCTGTCACACGACACAAATAAATGAGAAACAAGTTAACAATATTTATGACAGAGACGTGGTTGTTCTAGATTCTAAATTAACAATGTTTATGACAAAGAAAGAAATAACATAAAAGATGACAATGGTAAAAGGAAAACAGGGACAGAGATTGGTAAAGTTATAGTCAAACCTTACTTGAGGAAGTGTGAATAAGGAATAACCCTTAACATCAGTTTGCATGTCAAGCATAATCACTGCTAATCGTGTTAATCCCAGTGCCTCCATATCAATCAACTTCTTCATCCTAAAACAAACTTGAGATTTTACAAAATCATTTTATACAACTTAATAGGTTAATGAACCCAAACGAAAAGGACTAAAAAATAAAGATAAATGATATTTCACTTGTCACCACAACAGCATAGTCGACAAAGTAAATTGAAATGCGAAGCCTGCTAATTAAGGAGAAAAAAAATTTATGAATTAGATCTGCATAATGGACTGGAGAAGATCCATTCCAAAAACACAAATGAACAAAAAATAACAAGATTCATTGTTTGGGTGAACAGGGAAATAAATGCACAGGAAGTAAAAAGGATGAGAGTAAGTTGGCCCCTATGGCTCAAGTCCTATAAAAAGAGGTTTTCCCCTCCTTGGGCAGCAAGCTATTTTCAAAAGATATACAGTTTCTCTACAAACCAGAGGCTCTTCTCCCTCGGTGTCACTCTCTCTCTAAGATTGCTTCAGCTTCCTTCCTCTCCAACTACAAAGGGCAAGAGCCAGCTTAGTGACTACTATGATTTTTAGAGGACTCACAGTCTGTCACATCATCAATGACCGCTCACAAATACAAAACCAAACAAGTTACACAAAAACAAACACAAGAATAGTAAACTAAACTAAAAAGAAGTTGAAAGTTATATACAAGGCAACATGATACAACTTGCTTGCATAAAGACATAGAAAAACTCAAGGATGAAGATAAGAAAATACCAAATGAAGAAACCTAAATTTGGCATGTAGGTTTGATCAGAAAGGGTAAGAGAATCACGCCCTAGTGCAATGCTTGCAGCACTATCAATTTATTACTCTCACTTAACCTTATTCCAACTAAAATACATTGCCTTATAAATTTAGCTCCCAAAACAAAGACTAGTTTACCTACCTATCTCAAAGACCCAAAAATAGTCAAGGACCTTGACAGACTAAATGGGTAACCTTCCAGCCAGAGATGCCTTACAGAGCCAGTGCCTTCACAAAATATCAAATAAAAAAACAGACTAAGACCACTTACCTGCTTGGTGTCCCACTAGCAATAGTAACATGGTTCTTTAAAAAGGACACCTACATCAAATTAAAAAAAAAAATTATGAATTAGATCTGCATAATGGACTGGAGAAGATCCATTCCAAAAACACAAATGAACAAAAAATAACAAGATTCTTTGTTTGGGTGAACAGGGAAATAAATGCATAGGAAGTAAAAAGGATGAGAGTAAGTTGGCCCCTATGGCTCAAGTCCTATAAAAAGAGGTTTTCCCCTCCTTGGGCAGCAAGCTATTTTCAAAAGATATACAGTTTCTCTACACACCAGAGGCTCTCCTCCCTCGGTGTCACTCTCTCTCTAAGATTGCTTCAGCTTCCTTCCTCTCCAACTACAAAGGGCAAGAGCCAGCTTAGTGACTACTATGATTTTTAGAGGATTCACAGTCTGTCACATCATCAATGACCGCTCACAATACAAAACCAAACAAGTTACACAAAAACAAACACAAGAATAGTAAACTAAACTAAAAAGAAGTTGAAAGTCTTATACAAGGCAACATGATACAACTTGCTTGCATAAAGACATAGAAAAACTCAAGGATGAAGATAAGAAAATACCAAATGAAGAAACCTAAATTTGGCATGTAGGTTTGATCAGAAAGGGTAAGAGAATCACGCCCTAGTGCAATGCTTGCAGCACTATCAATTTATTACTCCCTCTTAACCTTATTCCAACTAAAATACATTACCTTATAAATTTAGCTCCCAAAACAAAGACTAGTTTACCTACCTATCTCAAAGACCCAAAAATAGTCAAGGACCTTGATAGACTAAATGGGTAACCTTCTAACCAGAGATGCCTTACAGAGCCAGTGCCTTCACAAAATATCAAATAAAAAAAACAGACTAAGACCACTTACCTGCTTGGTATCCCACTAGCAATATTAACATGGTTCTTTAAAAAGGACACCTACATCAAATTAAAAGGAAAAATGATAAATAAATGCATACGTTCTAAATCTACTCTAATTTAATGAATAGAAAGTAAAAGAGAAGAAAGACGATAGTTCAGAAGTTGTATTCAAATAATACTTTCTTTTTGGTGCACATCAAAATAACACAGTTACAAGTTCATGAAGGCCTACGGAAAATGAATCAATGAATCATATTGTTGAAAATGTTTTTTTTTTCTTTTTCTTTTCTTCTTCGTATCTAGGCAGACCAATGACTAAAGAAAAAATATACTAGCATCGAAAATCTCCATCACCAAAATTGTTCACTCTCACATTTATTTATGATTTTTAATAATCGTAACAGTGTTGCTCTCCATTATTCAAAATTTTATGATAATTTAAGTTATCATAGTACACCATTTAAATAAGGGAAGGATTAAAAAAATATTTACAAAAATATGATAAACATTATAAATATTAATAATTAAAATCGTAATTTTTTTATAAATGTTTTTTTCCTAATCTCACTAATGAATACTTCACCCTTTTAAATATCTCAATAATTTTCCTTTTATATGCAAATTTTATATCAATTTCCATCAATTAAAAAGCAATATAATGTAAGTCATTCAAATGTTAAACACGTTGGTAGTGTAAAGTCTAGTCATTCCACAACTTGCAGCTTATAAAGACTCATCACCAAACCATTATTAAAAAATAAATAACCAATTCCTATTCTTCAAATCCATTACTTATCCCAAACTCTCTTGTAAATAAGTGAGAACGTTGTGCACTAGATACAACCTTTTAACAAGTGCACGTTTATCACCCGCAATTAAAAATAGATAAAATAACTTTTTTTTAAATAAAAAAAACATAAATCTCAGTCTCTAAAAACAAAATAATGGCCAACAATTACAAGAATTTCCAATGGAATGTTTTTTTCAAAATTTTCACGATGCCTTTCACATAAATCAAATGATTCATTTGTGTGGGGTACATATTTTAAGCTAACTGCTCAAAGAAAATATTTCTATGATGATGATGTTGATAATAATTTTAATTAACTGTGAATCTCAACACAGTCAAAGCAGGGAATTATCAAAATGCTAGCAACAAATTATTGCTAACTGACTTCACTAGGATACTAATTTCGCCAACTGGTTAATTTTGCATCAATCAAATAATAAATTGGAGCATGCACAACCATTTCATACATACTTTTTGCTATCATGAAATAAATTCAATTTCATATCGAAAATAGAACAGGTAAGGAAATCAAAATTTATGAGAAGAAGGATATACATACATACATACATACATACTACATACATACATACATACATACATACATACATACATACATACATACATACATACATACATACATACATATATGTGTGTGTGTGTCTTCAAATACGAATTACAGTGAGGAAAAATCAATAAATTGGTGAAACCGAAGCTTGTACCTGTAGCAGATTGATTCAAACCAAAGCTTATTTCCAAAATTAGACTACCTGGTGGAAAAATCAATAAATTGATGAAAAAGTGATTGGATTACAGTGAGTTCAGATGAAGAAGTTGAATACGAATTACAGTGAGTTCACTGAGTTCAAGTGACGAAGTAGAGAGATGAAAAAGTTGAAATACAAATGAATGATGTCAAGAGACTCACTGAGAGAGAGATAGAGAGAGAGAGAGAGAGAGAGTTCATACCGTTGGAGAGCTCTTCTTCAGACGACCATGGTGATCTATAGAGCGAAATCAACAGAGGGAAATCAGATTCTCTTCCTCAGACACGATCGAGCGAAATTATATTTGGGGGAAATGAGAGTTCAGGGCAAGTTTTACACGATTAGATTTGGGGGAAATGAAGGAAAATATAAATTGGGTTGAGTGGGTTCCCAATAGTGGGCTCACAAGTTTTTGCTTAGGCTGATTTGTCGTTGCAAATAATTTTTTTTTTTTGCGACGGTCAAATAATCAGTCGCAAAAATATAGACGCAAAAAAAATAATCAGTCACAAAAATATAGACGCAAAAAATAATTTTTCTAGTAGTGTTCTACTTTTAGTTGGCATGGGTTTTTGTCTATTATCATTAATTGTTTTGTTTTTGGTTATTTTGTTGATGAATTTTCAGTGTGAGTTAAAATTTTAGGCAAAAATAGAAGAATTGAAGCTGAAATTTTAGTCTGATTTGTCCAGGGTTCTTTGAAAATCTTCATCTGAATTTGGGTCTCCTATGGCTAGCATATATATAGTACATATAAGTAAATTTGGAATAGTTTTTCAGTTTACTACTTCAGTTTTAATGATGTTTTTATAACTCTACAACCATTTAGAAATCCCTATTTCTTTGCAAGATGCATTGTTTTACTTTTCGGATGACCCTATATTGTCTTCTTACATCACAAATTGAGATAACCATGTGTCTTGTAGCCCAGTTGGTATCCAAATGCTGCATCCAAGAGTAAAGTGGATGTTTTTATCTGAAAAGTTTAATGTGATCTATGATGCTCTTATTAAATGAGATGCGAAGAAAACAAAAGAGCACAATTTCAAATTACATGGGGGATGTGATCCCTTCTGTTTTTCTTGGCTGTGACTGTTCTGTCCTTAGAGCTGTATAAAAGGTCATAAATATGCATCTTCTTTCTGTTTAGTATATATATATATATATATAATATGTAGCTTTCGAGAGTATGATTATGTTAATGTTCAGACTACAGTCTGGAGTTATCCATTGTTGGAAGCTCACTGGTTTATTTAATGTTTGAGGAAATAATACCCTACAAATTTTAAGAGTTATTACCAATGCTTTCTCATTGCTTTGCATGTTCCGATTCAATCCTTTCATTCCTACATATTTGGTCGTTTTAGGAAGAATTATTGTTATTTACTTTTACCTTATGGCCACTTATAAAGTGGAATAGATATGATATATAACTGTCCAAGCTTATGTTAGCTTTTGATAAAACTCTCTTTAGAATGAACTATATTTTGTATTGAATTTTTCTCACTTATTGATTCATATCCTTCGCCCATAGGCTTACATCCTTTTATATAGAGAAGGTTATACAAAAGTTCAATGAATAAGATCCATGAACCTAAACAACCTTGCAATTAACTAGGTACATGAATATAATTTAGACAATGTACTTAATAAATATAAAATACATGAATATAAAAATACATGAATACAAAGAATGTATGAACTCAATGTATCCAATGTATCTAATGTAAATATGGCATTAATTTTAACACTCCCCCTTAATGCCATATTGTGTGACACCCAATTTTTCTCTAAAAAATTCAAACTTGTCTCTTGGTAGAGCTTTGGTGAAGATGTCAGCAACTTGATCTTTAGTCTTGCAATACTTGATTTGAATCTCATCATCTTCCACAGCTTCTCTAATGAAATGATGTTTGATAGCAATGTGTTTGGTACGAGAATGATAGACGGGATTCTTTGCCATAGCAATAGCAGACTTGTTATCATACATAATTGGAGTAGCTTTACCTTGCTTCTCACGAAAATCATCCAAAATTCTTCTTAACCAAATTGCTTGTGTAGTTGCCAATGATGCTGAAATATATTCAGCTTCAGCAGATGATTGTGCCACAGTTTGTTGTTTCTTGCACGACCATGAAATTACGCCCGATCTAAGAGAAAATGCATATCGTCAACACATCCGGCCCAATCACTATCACAAAATCCAAGTAACTTTGCATCAACAAATTGTTAGAAAAAATGATTTTTAGGTGACTTTAATTTAATATTAAAGTGTGGTGACTTTAATTAAATATTAAAGTGGGTCCCAATCATCTATTGTGTTGGGTCCAAGTGGGCCAAAAACCATTGAGAATTGAATAAGAAATTGCCAATAAATTGCCTCATGATGTTAGATTCATGAATGAGATTTTAAGGGTATTTAAATCATTTTTCTTGGCTAAAGAGTGTAAACCCGTTGGGCATCCAAAATTTTCATCTTTCTGGAAAGGGGTTATGGATCTTGGTTAATGGGGCTTTAATGACCAGCCATAAAGGTTGGGGGCTCTTCCTCTCTCCCCTATACATGTATAAATTGAGACCCTCCTGTCAAGTCTCCATATAGAAATTTTTTGTTTCCGTTTTACAAGTCAGTTTGCTAGAAAGTTCCTACTGTGAGAGAGTGCTACCACTGTTTTTGTTCGCTAAGCTAGACAGAAAGTGCTTCTGCCGTAGCTGGTTTTGACCGTCGTATCCTGGGAGACAGACACTGGGATTCCTCAAGCACTCGACCCGTGAGCCGGCGAAATCTGTTTTAAGGAAACTGCTACCGTGCAGGCTTCGGTTTGGTTTCTTTATCATTTTATTGTTTTGTGTATTTTTGCTGAAATTTAGTTGTAATTATCAGCATATGTTCTTGGTATATAATTTTGATTTCTTCATAAATCTATTTATTTAATTTCACAATTTGAACAACAAGCTTAAAACAGATTTTTTATATATTTTCTATGAAATTGATCGAATAGATTTATATAGACAATTAGGTTAGCTTTGTATAATGTTACTAGGAACTGTTGCGGAATTGCTCACTGTTTCAATAATACAAAATATAAATTTGCATGTTTAGAGATTCAAGTAATTTATATGAATAGGCCATTGTTCCATTTTTTGTAGGTTAATTGCAGTTCATGATTTTGCTTCTTTGCATGCACATAAAACTATTTTCATGCCTTCTTGCACTGATTCATCCTTCTGAGTAAATTAATATATTTGCGCTTGCTGGTGAATAGATCCATGCGTGTT